TTGGGGGGATTAGTGCTAGGAGAGGGGATCTGGGGGGGGATTAGTGCTAGGAGAAGGGATTTAGGAGGGGGATTACTGCTAGGAGAAGGGATCTAGGGGCAATTAGTGCTAGGAGAGGGGATCTAGGGGGTGAGATGTGCTAGGAGGGAGGGATTTAGGGGTGAGATGTGCTAGGAGAGGGGATCTAGGGGGGATTAGTGCTAGGAGAGGGGATCTGGGGGGATTAGTGCTAGGAGGAAGGATTTAGGGGTGAGATGTGCTAGAGGAAAGGGGATCTAGGGGGGATTAGTGCTAGGAGAGGGGATCTGGGGGGGATTAGTGCTAGGAGAAGGGATTTAGGGGGGATTAGTGCTAGGAGAAGGGATTTAGGGGGGATTACTGCTAGGAGAAGGGATCTAGGGGCAATTAGTGCTAGGAGAGGGGATCTAGGGGTGAGATGTGCTAGGAGGAGGGATTTAGGGGTGAGATGTGCTAGGAGAGGGGATCTAGGGGGGATTAGTGCTAGAGAGGGGATCTGGGGGGGATTAGTGCTAGAAGGAGGATTTAGGGGTGAGATGTGCTAGGAAAGGGGATCTAGGGGGATTAGTGCTAGGAGAGGGGATCTGGGGGGGATGAGCGCTAGGAGAAGGGATTTAGGGAGGATTAGTGCTAGGAGAGGGGATTTAGGGGGGATTTGCGCTAGTAGAGGGTATTTAGCGGGGGGGATTAGTGCTAGGAGGAGGGATTTAGGGGTGAGATGTGCTAGGAGAGGGGATCTAGGGGGGATTAGTGCTAGGAGAGGGATTTAGGGGTGAGATGTGCTAGAAGAGGGGGGATTCTAGGGGGGATTAGTGCTAGAAGAAGGGATCTAGGGGGGCGATTAGTGCTAGGAGAGGGGATCGAGGGGGTGAGATGTGCTAGGAGAGGGGATTTTGGGGTGAGATGTGCTAGGAGAGGGGATCTGGGGGGGATTAGTGCTAGGAAGAAGGGATTTAGGGGGGATTAGTGCTAGGAGAAGGGATTTAGGGGGATTACTGCTAGTAGAAGGGATCTAGGGGCAATTAGTGCTAGGAGAGGGTATCTAGGGGGTGAGATGTGCTAGAGGAGAGGATTTAGGGGTGAGATGTGCTAGGAGAGGGGATCTAGGGGGGATTAGTGCTAGGAGAGGGGATCTGGGGGGGATTAGTGCTAGGAGGAGGGATTTAGGGGTGAGATGTGCTAGGAGAGGGGATCTAGGGGGGATTAGTGCTAGGAGAGGGGATCTGGGGGGGATTAGTGCTAGGAGGAGGGATTTAGGGGTAAGATGTGCTAGGAAAGGGGATCTAGGGGGGATTAGTGCTAGGAGAGGGAATCTGGGGGGGATGAGTGCTAGGAGAAGGGATTTAGGGAGGATTAGTGCTAGGAGAGGGGATTTAGGGGGGGTTAGTGCTAGGAGAGGGTATTTAGGGGAGATTAGTGCTAGGAGAGGGGATTTAGGGGGGATTTGTGCTAGTAGAGGGTATTTAGGGGGATTTGTGCTAGAAGAAGGGATTTGTGGGGTGAGATGTGCTAGGAAAGGGGATCTGGGGGGGATTAGTGCTAGAAGAAGGATTTGTGGGGTGAGATGTGCTAGTAGAGGGGATCTGGGGGGGAGAGGGATCAGTGCTAGAAGAAGGGATCTAGGGGGGGCAATTAGTGCTAGGAGAAGGGATTTAGGGGTGAGATGTGCTAGGAGAGGGGATCTAGGGGGGGATTTGTGCTAGAAGAGGGGATCTAGGGGGCGATTAGTGCTAGGAGAAGGGATTTAGGGGGGGATTTGTGCTAGGAGAAGGGATTTGGGGATGAGATGTGCTAGGGAGAGGGGATCTGGGGGGAATAGTGCTAAGAGAAGGGATTTAGGGGGGATTAGTGCTAGGAGAGGGTATTTAGGGGGGATTAGTGCTAGGAGAGGGGATTTAGGGGGGGATTTGTGTTAGTAGAGGGTATTTAGGGGGGGATTTGTGCTAGAAGAAGGGATTTGTGGGGTGAGATGTGCTAGGAAAGGGGATCTGGGGGGATTAGTGCTAGGAGAAGAGATTTGTGGGGTGAGGTGTGCTAGGAGAGGGGATCTGGGGGGGAGAGGGATCAGTGCTAGAAGAAGGGATCTAGGGGGATCAGTGCTAGGAGAAGGGATTTGGGTGGATTTGTGGTAGGAGAGGGGATTGGGGGCAATTAGTGCTAGGAGAAGGGATCTAGGGGGGGAGATTAGTGATAGAAGGGATTTGGGGGGGCGATTAGTGATAGGAGAGGGGATTTAGGGGGGTTAGTGCTTGGAGAGGGGATCTAGGGGGGCGATTAGTGATAGGAGAGGGGATTTAGGGGGTTAGTGCTTGGAGAGGGGATCTAGGGGGGCGATTAGTGATAGGAGAGGGGATTTAGGGGGGTTAGTTCTGGGAGACGGTATTGAGAGAGGGGATTTGTGATAGGAGAGGGGATTGGGGGAATTTGTGCTAATGCTAAGAGAAGGGATGTGCTGGGACAGAGAGATTGGGGGGGGGGGGGGGCGTTATTATGCTCATAGGGGAAATTTGAGGGGAAATGTAGAGAATTTGTGCTAGGTGGGGGGATTGGGGAGGGAAGAGCTGGGAGGGGAGATTTGTACTGGAAGAGGGGAAATTTTTGTTCAAGGAGAATTTTGGCTTACAAAGGGAATTTAAGTTTAGGGGGTAAGTGTGAAGATTAGTGCTCTAATATTTTATATTTGTTTTTTGGGGGGGGGGGCACCGTTTGTTATCTTTGCCCTGGGCGTTAGATGCCCCTGTCCTGCCTCTGGGCACATACATACATACATTGGCCCAAGCTGGACCGATGTAAGAATTGCCAGGCCTGGAATTTAGCTTTAATATGAACCAGGTTGATTAGAATTGTAATTGCTGACACTACAGAGTTGTCGGTACATGGAGAATATCCCGTGCAGAGATTGGACATGGAGAATATCCCGTGCAGAGATTGGACATGGAGAATATCCCGTGCAGAGATTGTATGTTCCGATCAGAACGTGTGTGTCCAACTTTACGCTTGAGGATGACAGGTCCACCCAGGAAGACAGAATTTTATTTCCTCCAGATATTCTGTCCTTTTCCACTCCACCTAACATTCTGTAGCGCGGTCCCTATTTCCTCTGATTTCCGGCACTTCCCGTATATCTGAACATGTCATCGGCACGTAGCAATGACAGATACAATCTGTGAACAGCGTGATGTCGAGTTTCAGCTTTGGAGATATGGAGACAAATAATATTCCAAACACAAGTTTGTTAAGAAAAGCAATTATGTATTTGGTGCTACGAGCAGTCTGCGTGTTACGGGCATTCTGCATGTTACGGGGCCGTCTGCGTGTTACGGGCCATCTGCGTGTTAGGGGTCGTCTGCGTGTTAGGGGTCGTCTGCGTGTTACGGGCGGTCCGCGCGTGTTACAAAGATGATCATGTGGAGATAGAAAAGGAAAAAAAAAAGAGAAATGACTTGTAAAAGAAACAGGGGTATTAAAAAGTGACTTTACAATTAACCCTTTCAGGGAGATGTGAGACGTTTTCAGGTCACTAAATCCTAAATCAAGGACGGACTGACAACTCATGGGGCCCCCGGGCAATAGGGGATCATGGGGCCCCTGTGTCCTTGCCCAAAATAAAAAAAGCCTATGAAAAAGGTACCAAGGACGTCTCATGGGGCCCCCTACTGACCCCGGGCCCTCGGGCAGTGCCTGAGTTTCCAAGTGGTCAGTCCGCCCCTGTCCTACATATAAACTTCTGTTTGTCCATCATTCCTTGGTGTCTATAGACAGGCGTACTATAGATCCCCCCCCCCCGGTTGTCATAGTGACATCATCCCATCGATTTTACATTCAAACGTCATAAAGTTAACTGTTTCCAAGTGTTACTAAACCCACAACAGTACAATCCGTCTGTAGATGCAGTAAAGCATGCTTGTTATATTCACTGTGGAACCTAAGGGGTTAATCCTCTGCATTGTGTAAAAAGGATGTTTGATCCTGACTTCTCTGTTCCTCCTCTAGTTCAAATGTCCACTTCTTATCTCCTGATAAGACAGACTGAACCCGCAGTCCTTCTGCACATGCTCAGTTTACTGTGTATTGGTAGTGAGGGTTTTTTTTTTTTTTCTTGGGAGAGTGCATGTGATCAGCACAGGGCCAATCAGCACTGTCCAGACAGAGGTCAGGGGTTCTGCATCCTCTAGGAGAAAGAAAACTCCTCCTGCAAGCTTTAACCAGTGCTCTGCTGGACACTGATAGAAGTCACAAGACTGCTATATATACTGCTGATAGGAAAAGGCATTTAGTAGTTTATATTTACTAAAATAATTACATTTCCATGTTGTGTGTACTGTGGGAGAGACCAGATATAGTGACTGCAGGGTCCGGGGAGACCCGATATAGTGAATGCAGGGTCCGGGGAGACCCGATATAGTGAACGCAGGGTCCGGGGAGACCAGATATAGTGTATGAAGGGTCCGGGAAGACCGGATATAGTGAATGCAGGGTCCGGGGAGACTGGATATAGTGAATGCAGGGTCTAGGGAGACCAGATATAGTGAATGCAGGGTCCGGGGAGACTGGATATAGTGAATGCAGGGTCCAGGGAGACCGGATATAGTGCATGCAGGGTCCGGGAAGACCAGATATAGTGAATTCAGGGTCCAGGGAGACCAGATATAGTGAATGCAGGGTCCAGGGAGACCAGATATAGTGAATGCAGAGTACAGGGAGAGTGGATATAGTGAATGCAGGGCCCAGGGAGACCAGATATAGTGAATGCAGGGTACGGGGAGAGCGGATATAGTGAATGCAGGGTCCAGGGAGACCAGATATAGTGAATGCAGGGTCCGGGGGGAGACCGGATATAGTGAATGCAGGGTACGGGGTGAAGTGACACTTTAACATTTTTTTAGACCCTGAAGAAGTTGATGTTTTCAATGAAACGCGTCGGAATATTGCTCAAACCCAAAATATTCTGCCATGCTTACATATCTGCTGTAATCTGAAATAGTGATACATGCATGATATATATATTAAACCCTTCCTGCCCATCCCTGGCATCCCTTCAAGTCAGTCTTTACACTCAGGGGGGCAAGACAGACCTCCCAATTACATGACCATTGTGATTGGCTGTCACAATGGTCACATGACCAGGAGCCCGACATGTTGGCTCACAATCATAACTATCTATGACACCTTAGTCACTGTGGGGAGAATTTTTTTAAACTGGAGAGTGCAAAATCTGGTGCAGCTCTGCATAGAAACCAATCAGCTTCAAGGTTTTATTGTCAAAGTTTAATTCAACCAGCTGAAGTTAGAAGCTGATTGGCTACCGTGCACAGCTGCATCAGATTCTGAATGTGTTTCTGTGTTTAGAATGTGCGCTCATCACAGAAACCTCAGCCATCCACGGACACGTGTGGCATGTGGGCAGTAGGACCAACCTTCTTTGCTCCTGCACTTACATGTAACATGGGCAGCAAGGGTTTAAGCAAGTGAGGACACAAGAAAATATGTATTGCAGCAATCAGCCAATCAGTTCATGTGCTGACAAGAAACATGCTGATAGGAGACAATGGCAGAGTGAAAGAGAAATGAGCTCATCACTGTCCAGTCACAGGCTGGGGGCTCGTCCGGGATGGCCTGAGCTCAGACTGAGGACATCTAGTAGCAGACAAAAATACTTGGGGAATTTTCTGGATTGAATGTGAATATTACAACAAAAGCTGGTTTTGTTTTTTTATCTTTTAGCCAATCAGTTCATGTGCTGACAAGAAACATGCTGATAGGAGACGATGGCAGAGAAAAAGAGAAATGAGCTCATCCCTGTGCTGCTTCTCCTTTCACTGTCCACTCACAGGCTGGGGGCTCGTCCGGGATGACCTGAGCTCAGACTGAGGACATCTGTCAGGACTCCCGGTAAGACCAGAGATGTGTGAACTGATACAGGGAAACGCAGGCTCAAGTATGGGTGTAACAATATAATTTATTAAAGGTTATACACAAATATAACGCACAATATAACAAAACCAAACTTCCCACTGATAACGGAATGTACACAGACAAGAGCAGTCAGGGCTGGTGAGGTGGAATGGTCAGGCAGGCCGGGTCAGGAACCATCAGGCAGAGCGTAGTCAGACGGGCCAGGTCAGGAACAATCAGGCAGACAAGGTACCAAAGGAGCAGGCTGGAGAGTGGTCAGGAATAGCCGGGGTCAGGACAGGCAGAGTTCATACAGAGTCAGGATCAAAGCAGAATCAGGAATCAGGCAGGAAGCAGACAGGATGCAGGTACAGGGGCTCATGGGAAACATACACCAAGGCACTGACTGCAGGTCTGGCCATTCCTTAAATACACCTCCTGCAATCAGCCTCAGGTGATGGCTGACTGCAGGAGTGAGCTTCTAGTTGCTGAGAGCACCCGCTGGCCAGCCCTGGTACTGCAGCCCACACGGCAGATGAGTCCCACCACCATTGGCGAGTCATTCCTGACAACATCAAGTAGCAGACAAAAATACTTGGGAAATTTTCTGGATTGAATGTGAATATTACAACAAAAGCTGGTTTTGTTTTTTTTATCTTTTAGCGTGCTATTCATTTTTATCTTGTCTGTGGTTGAAGTTCTGTTATTGGTTTATTATACAGTAAACTGTGCTTTACCACATCAGCACACATTGACGCATAAACAATGTTGCAGTGTATTCCAGTGGCTTTCAGAATGAATGCCAGCAAAATACACATCTCCATGGTTCAATTGTTAAAGTACCAATAAAGTGCAGAAAACGCACAACATACTGCATACATGTGAATGAACTGTTAATATATTGTTTATATAACATTTTATATCTGTCTACACTTCTTCTTTAACCGCTTCCCGACCACCCTATAGCAGAAATACTGATACAGGGCAGCACAGGTGCGCAAAATCACATATATATGTGATTTTGCATTTTTGGGTAGGGGGTGCGCTCGCGTGCTCTACCCGCGCTGCCATTCGCGGCTGTGGCTGTCAGTCACCGGGTCCTGGCTGGTGATTACTCGATGGCGCTCAGTGATTACCGAGGATATCCAACGGGGAGAACTGTTTTGTTTACTAACAGTTCTCCTCCTTGTCAGCTCGGGCACACTGCACAGCACAGCCATCCAAAGCAGTGTGCTTACAGTGAAGCACACAGGCACCGCCCCATACTAAAACACACTCAGCACACAGTTAACCCTTTAATCACCCCTCATGTTAACCCCTTCCTGCCCAGTGCCATTAGTACAGTGTCAGTGCTTTTTTTTTAGCACTGATCACTGTATTGGTATCACTGGGGATGTCCATGACGCCAAGTCAGTTCCCCCCAGTGTCAGAATGTTCCCTTAGATCGCCCCACATGTTAACCCTTTCCTGTCCAGTGCCATTAGTACAATGTCAGTGCTTTTTTTTTTTTTTTTAGCACTCTTCACTGTATTGGTGTCACAGGGGATGTTAGTGACACCGAGTCAGTTCCCCCCCAGTGTCAGAATGTTCGCCACAGTCCCGCTTTAAGTCCTCAGCACACAGTTAACCCTTTGATCGCCCCTCCTGTTAACCCCTTCCTGCCCAGTGCCATTAGTACAGTGTCGGTGCTTTTTTTTAGCACTGATCACTGTATTGGTGCCACAGGGGATGTTAGTGACACCAATTCAGTTCCCCCCAGTGTCAGAATGTTCACCACAGTCCCGCTATAAGTCCTCAGCACACAGTTAACCCTTTGATCGCCCCTCCTGTTAACCCCTTCCTGCCCAGTGCCATTAGTACAGTGTCAGTGCTTTTTTTTTTAGCACTGATCACTGTATTGGTGCCACAGGGGATGTTAGTGACACCAATTCAGTTCCCCCCAGTGTCAGAATGTTCACCACAGTCCCGCTATAAGTCCTCAGCACACAGTTAACCCTTTGATCGCCCCTCATGTTAACCCTTCCTGCCCAGTGCCATTAGTACAGTGTCAGTGCTTTTTTTTTAGCACTGATCACTGTATTGGTGCCACAGGGGATGTCAGTGACACCAATTCAGTTCCCGCCAGTGTCAGAATGTTCACCACAGTCCCGCTATAAGTCCTCAGCACACAGTTAACCCTTTGATCGCCCCTCATGTTTTCCTCTTCCTGTCCAGTGCCATTAGTACTGTGTCAGTGCTTTTTTTTAGCACTGATCACTGTATTGGTGTCACCGGGGATGTCAGTGACACCAAGTCAGTTCCCCCCAATGTCAAAAATGCCCGCTGCTGTCCCGCTATAAGTCGCTGATCACCGCCATTACTAGCAAAAATATATATTTTTTAAATCCCAGTCTATATACCGCCATTTGTAGACGCTGTAACTTTCACATAAACCAATTCATTGATACGTATTGGAATTTTTTTTTAGCAAAGACACGGAGAAGAATACATGTTGGCCTAAATTTATGACAAAATTCAGATTTTTTCAAACTTTTTTTAGACATGTTTAATAGCAAAAAGAATTATTTTCTCAAACTTGTCTTTTTTTTTTAATAGCGCAAAAAAGATCAAATACAAAGCTCAATTCATGGGGAAAAAAAAGGATGTAAATTTAATTTGGGCGCAGCGTTGCATGACCGCGCAATTGTCAGTTTAAGTAACGCATCGCCGAACGCAAAAAATGGTCTGGTCGGGAAGGGGGGTAAATCCCTTGAAGGGCGAGGGGTTAACAAATAATGGAGGTAATACTGAATAGAAAACTATTATTAAATATTTATTAGCCATGAATTATTGAACGGTAATAATTATTCATTATTAGTTTAATGGCAATTAGAGGTCACTTATGAAGAGGAAGCTGCAATATTGCATCTTTTTTAATTAGTTTGGCCCCTCATTAGGGACACAGATGATACATTTACATGCTGAAATACAACCCACACCATCACATTCATTATTTTTATGTTTTCCACTGTCCTGCAGTATTCTTTTGCTGAGATCATTGATGAATAAGGGGGCATATGAGCATTGGCAGCGGCAAGCTACGGGACCTACGGGAGCAACAGAGGCCTAAATTTGCCAAAAAATTATAAATATCTCCCTTAACCTCCCTAGTGGTCTGATTATGTCAGTATTTCTGTGCTCAAAGCGGTACATTTTTTTGCATGGAAATATGTATTTTTTTTTTATTGTAGGCCTGTAATTTTTAGGAATAACTCACTGAAATCTGTCCAAACAAGAGTCTAGTAAACATCCCGGGGATGATAAAATTTGAAACACGAAATCATAAATTATAATTTAATAAATAATCATAAAAAATAATAATAATAATAAATTTAATTCAATAATATAATCAAACAAAAACCACTGAAATTTGAAATATAGCGCCAAGTTTGCACATCGCTGAGCAAAGTCGCAGAATCGTTTTCAGTGTCTGATGAGGAATTTCCCCCACGAATCATTATCACTCAATTCTGCAAGTGGTTTCTGATTTACTATCGCTGTTCTCTAGCCGGTCTAAAACCGCTTTTGACCTAAAGAGACGCTTTTTGGACGCCATGGACGTTTCTCAGTTTCCAGGCAGAAAGAACAGGAAAAATGCAGGCAGGGCGCCGGACAAAGTACTCGGGACAAAATGTATGTGAAATGGTTTGATACAGTAATGTTATACTATGTGATTTTAGTGTATCGAGTGAATGACACATTTTAACATTTTTTTGAATTTCCCGCCAGTTCCGTCCCCCGTACGTCCCGACGTCGCAGGGAACGGAACCCGGAAGACAGATGCCGGCATCGGCCGGAGGACATTTCCGGGGACACTGCAGGGGGGACATCGCGGGAATGCAGGACAAGGTAAGTGAAGAAGAGATCCCGGAGCAACGTTGCAGTGTATTCCCGAGTGTAGCTCGGGG